TTATGTAACTATGTAGTACAACCAGACCTATCAGACTTCACCTTTAGATTAGTTAACAGCCTGTCTATTACTCATAAAAGTAAAAATTTAATGTTTTCACTTTGATTTATTATATTTGGATATTTTTTGTTCAGAATTAAATAATAGTGTTTATCATTAAGGGTGGAATGCTGCTTCATAAATATTATTAAACTCTTTATTCACTTATTGTAATCTAAAAATTACTTGAAATGATATAAATTAGCATACATCTGGTTAACTCAGCCTATTTTTTAAGTTGAACCTTCTGTGATAATATTGTAGATTACTACTTACAAATATATATTTTTAAAGTTTATATTATTTGCATCAATGGAGTAAACAAAATAATTAATTATTCCAAAAATAAATATAAAGTTTATCTTAACTGTTGATAAAATTAATGTTGAAATTCCTTATGTTACAATTGTAAATATTTGCAATTAGTTTATTTTTAATGGAAAAAAATCAATTTATTTCATATTTTCCTTTTCAGTTGTCTGATTTTGATTGAATGCTTGAAATCACTAGATTTGTAAAAATGAAATACAAATAGTAAAATTGTGAAGATGGGCATATGATTACCATTTTATTTTTTAATCTCTTATCAGTATTTTATTGTTAATTAAGCCTTTTCTCTTTGTTATATTGAACCTTATGTTTTGTTTGGAAGATATTCAGAATTTTATCTAAATATAAACTAAATTAATTACCAAATTGAATTTATGTATTATTAATGTTGACCACCTTATTTTATTTACCTTTTAATTTGTTCTTTAATTTTGTGACTATAATTGTAGACTTTTAAAAAAAAATTGGGGGTTCAGTTACCACTAATGCTGCTTTATATAATGACTTGTCTATAAGTTATATTAACATTTATTCTGATAATTTTCCTATCTTTTTATATAAATACCCAATTTTGCTAAAAATGGCATGGTTTAATGAGCTTCTAGCTGACATGATAGTGTTCTTAACTTTGCTCCTACTGTATAAGCATTGTTTAAAATAGTGAAAAGCTAGGCCGAGTTGATTTTTTTTGGTCGTTATGAACATGTGCTTGGTGGTGCTATATTTTAATGCTAGTTTTATCAAATTTGAAAAGTTTTCTCATTTTAAGCACGGGAGGGATAACTTAGTTAATAACTTAGGAGGGATAACTTGGTTAATACAACTAGGTATACAATTTCATAATTAAGTTAATTTTGATATACTAAACCATTTTCCAAGGCTGCCCTTATAGTGCATGGTTTTGTCCTCATTTAAAATAGTTTCTTTTTTAAATAAGGCATATAATTATTAAACCTCGAGTTCTGTTTTATCTTTGAACTATTGGAAGAATGCATTTGGCTTTTGTATCTAAAACTAAGCTTTATTTCTTTTATTTATTTTTGTTCTCTGATGATATGCTCCTACATTATAAATTTCATACAACATACATAAATGAAATCATTGAATTCTGTATGAAATGCTTATTGTTCCAGTTATTAGTACTAATTAATTACTATTAGTCTAGCACAATAGTATAAGGATACAATTTTAATTTTTTTGTGAAAGCTTGTTTTTTTTTTCTTTTTTATTTTTATCATCATCTTGTTTCATTAAATATTTGAAAAAAAATCTTTTAGACTAGCTTTCACTTGATACAAATTCTCTACAGTTGAAGTGCTTATAACATGAGTATCCAGTTTCAGCTTACTGTTAATTATGAACTCTGTAAGTTGATATGGATTTAATTTTATGCTTATTAATTTCATTAGATGAAATTTAATATAATTTAAAGCATAATTCAATTTTGTAAAAATATCAGTTAATATTTAAGAAAAATTTGACTTAACCATTTATTTTTATTGAAAACTTCAAGTCTACCTCTACTTTCTGGAAGAAAAGTCAATAAAAGTATTATGATTATCATCATTTCTTTTTTTCTCAGCTTTTTTATTTTTTTATTACTAATAATACATCAAAATATCTTTTAAAAAAAGAGAAACCAAAATTGGGAATTAGAATTTGCTTCTTTCTTTCTTAGCTTTCTGCTGTAAAAATCCTTGTAAAATGAATGTTTTGATACTTGAAAAATAGAATAACTGATTGAATTTACTTTGGTAAATGTAAATTTGAATATTTTATGATTTAAAAAAAAATTCTAGTAAGAAGCCTTTTTTTATATTTTATTTACAAGTTATAAATTTAAAAACAATTGTATTTTGATATCTTTTTAATTTATAAAAAATCTTTACACATTTTACTTGAATGGACTTTAAAATCATTTGAGTAATGTTTACTTTTCGGTGTTATTAAAAGAAATTTGTGTATATTTTGTTTACATAAAAAAAAGTAGCTTCTTTTAAAATAAAAACAAAAAAAATTCTCCAAATTTTTTTGTTCTCACTGCCAAGAAACAAAAAATATCTGACAAATGTCTGACTCATGACTTTTTACATTGGAATTCTAAATTTATCACAAATTTAAAATGCTAGGTAAGTCTCATGACAAATTTGGGTAAAGATATTGAAACTCTAAAACAAATAGTTATTGCTTATAAATGGATAATTTAGATTATACTAAATCATTTTCCCCTCATGCTTAACCAAGATCATTTGCATACTCATATAATTTCTATTATTCAGATATTTTAATTGGCATGAATGAATATGAAAGAAAAGGGAAAAATTCTAAAAACTGCATTTATTTCAAAACTTTAAAATTACTCTTGAAATGTTAAAATTATTTTTTCTATTATGTGTCTGTACAACTTTAACACTTAAAAATCAAATTATATTTTTCTATTGGAATTTGTCATTGCTTTTTTTTAAATTTATTTATTTATTTTCTTATAAATGAAATAAAATTGCTTCTATAAATTCTATAGATCATAAATGCTTTGGGCTTTCTGCACTAAATACATTTTAGTTTTTATACAAATATAATATTTGGGCTATATTAGCAAAATATGTGTATGAAAACAACTTTTTGCTAACGGTGATATTTCTTAGACATACTTAATTATAATACTTTAGATTAGCATACTCATCTTAGTTGTTCTACTTGCAATGTTTTGGCTCTTATACTCTCTACATCCTGAGTATGAAAGTAAACTAGATCTGGCAGCAGGGCCTCTGATCAGGAGGTTTTGAGGAGTGTGGAACAACCTTTTAATTGCTGTTGTTTTCAAATCCACTTTGACTCTGGGTGGTGGCACCTAGCTATGGGCAAATAGTTAACCCCCAAACTGGGGTCATAACAATGAAAGTATAAAAAAATTTCATAGTAAAAATATCAGCAATACATTTTCATAGTAAAAAAATATTACCATTAATACATCTTTGTAACAAAAAACAAAAAATTACCAGTAATAAATTTGTCAAAGAAATTATTAATGCTCCCCGGAAAGTTGAATTTCAGCATTAAATGACCTATATATGCCACTAAACAAAGAAACAAAGTTGTACTCTCCAGCCTTCTTCTGGTGCCTATCTTTGAAGTTCATAATCTTCTTCAGATTTTGAATCAAACCCTTTATTCAATCCATGATATTGTTTTCCATGCTTAGGGGATATTTTGTATCAGTACTCACTGGTCTTATTCAACTTCATGTGTGTTTGTTTCTTCAACTGAACCAATGTATGAGACTTTTCAGCACTATTTTGGTAGGATAAGGATGGAACTCATGACTGCCAGAGAATTCCATATCTTTTAACCAATGCTTTTGCTTGAATCCATGAGGCCATGTTTCTTGAAATGTTGAAATCTAGTGTTCAAATTTTGGAGCCTTAGACTGCACATATCTCTCCTTATCTGATCAGCCTTGTCTGATTTCCATGTCTTTCCTCTGACAACTACTATTCAATGTTCCTCTACCCTTATTTTTCTCCACTTAGTATACCTTGCCACAAATGTATAGGTTGAAATTAAGCACAGTTTTTGGACCTGGGTAGAAGGCTTGGTTTGGGAAAGATGTCTTCAAAGGATTGAAAAGTCATATCTAAGTATGAAGATATATAGCTTTTCAGTAGAAGTGACCAAGTCATATAACTATGAATAAGATAAGTGACTAATAGATATGAGATTATCTCCTAAATATGAAATGCAGAATGATAAAAATTTACCTCTAGGGATTGAATAAAAGACTGAGTTCTAAATTCCACAAATGTTACTGGATACAAAGACATACCTGAAAAAGCCCAAAAACATACAACAGTTCAAAACTTTGTGAGTATAACTACCAAGATGAGCATACTGGTCTGAATAAATAGATAAAGCACACAATAATTCCTCATCTCAAAGATTCCAGCAAAAATTAATTGTAATTTTACTAAGATACACAAATAAGATTACATAATTGTTGAGAAAATCATTAGTTTGATTAGTATTTCAATTTTAGTTATATTTTTAAAGGACATTTTTGCAAATATTTTGTTTTCTATTGAAAGGTTCCCATACTAACATTTCAGTTAGGCAATGTAATCAAATTTATAATTTTTATTTTACATTTTTTGATCAGATTTGGTTTGTCCTTTGATTTCAAATATTCAATAAATACTTCAACAATCCTTATTTCGAATGAATGACTAATTCATTTGGAAATTGATGTTTTACTTTATTTTAAATTTCTGCTCATTTATGAATAGATATTTTCAGTTGGATTCATTTTGTACAAATATGAACAATTTCCAACATTCCAGGTGTTGCTTTGACAATTTTTATCTATAAATTATTTATTTTATAAATAATTATGAATTTTTTTTTTCTATTTATTTTACATCTGATATTTTTTTAAAGTATGCTTATAATATATTTATCTCACACTCTTTTCCTGCTATGTTGAAATGATATCAGTAGTCAGGCTTAGCTGCCTTTTTCATGTTTAAGATTATTAATATTAAATTCAGATTTTGAAAATAATTACTCCATTTATGTTTGTTTTATAAAACAAAAAAGCTATCATGATTTTTTTTTTTTTTTATCTCTGGCTCTTTAAGTTTTTCATCTCTTTCCTTAATTCTCTTTGTTCTTGTCCCCCCTCCAGTTTTCTCCTCTTCATATTTTTTTCTTTTCATTGTTACTGCTTTCATCTTTTATAAGCACTTTACTAATTAATTTTGTTCAACCTGTTAATGAAAGTGACAAATATAAGCCATTTGATATTCAGCTTTTGTTTTATTTTTTTTAATATCATTCAATAGTGTACAGAGTGAGTAATGACAGAGTAAAATAAAGCATGAGGTGGGGAGTCAATTCAGTTTTTATTATATATTCATTTTAACTGCTAAACTAAATTTAGCAGAAAAGATAGAAACATCAAGGTAAAAAAAAAAAATGGAGGAAAAGTATACACTTATGATTATCACAAGTTTTCATTCATTCATTTTATATATATATATATATATATACACACACACACACACACACACACACATATTGTGTATTTAGGCAGCAATCCTTCTTTCATGCAAGTTTCATTGAATATGACAGACAAAGTACTTTATTAAGTTTTTTATACAATTTCTCACGTGATCTTATAATTTTTTCTTTTCAGTAGATAAATTATATAAAAACTGTTCAATTATTGTTTTTCCTAAGTGCTTTCTGCTCTGCATTTAGCCATTTTCATGGTTGAAATATATTAACTGTTAACTAGAAATAGATTGTTGTATGTATGTATTTATATAATGTTTCATTTTCAAAACACAATTAAGATATTGTGTCCATGTTCATAGTTGATATTACTGAGTGTTGGTTTTTGTTTTTATTAATAAGGCTTCCATTATTTTTGCCTTTTTATTACACAGCCGTGTTTTGAAAATGAAACATTATACATGTAAAAGACTATACAGAATTTTTTTTTGTTTTACCATTTATTCGATGATTTAAGACTAGTATCATCACCTTTGTTATATTTATAACTGTTTCAGCCATTTTCTGGCTTTCCTTCTATGTATCAGATCTGGTTGTAATATAAGTATAGAAGTTAATACCAACACAATAAGGATAGCTTAAATGATAACACTTTTGCCCATAGTTTTACATTATCTCTTTCATCATGCTATAGTCAATACAAACATTTTCTTCATAGGCCAAAGGTGTCTAAATAGTTAAAGATCTCTTTAGTAACTATCACTCTTATAAATTACTAAGACATAGAGAATTAAACTTTATTTAAAATCTGGAGTCATGAATATTTTTAGAAAATTCTCTGTCCTTGAATCATTACTCACTCTGTCTTTATTTCTTTTGTATATTTTATTTTATCTGTACTCTTCCTAAAAATAGGAAACACATAGATGATTATATTCTATGGCTGATGTGAATAAACATTAAAAGTATTAAAAAGAAATGCACTTTCTTGTTTTTGTTACTTTAATACGTTTTTTTAATTTCAAATTTCTCTAATGGATAGAACACCTCTCCAAAATTGATGTAGTTTGGGGAAACCATGAAAATATTTCCCTGGCTTTGTTGATTACTTGAATTTTAATAGAAAGTTTCTGTACAATGTTTTTGGGGAAATGACATTCTTGTACAAAAATATAAATAAAGGCTTTATTTTATTTTTCAATACTTATGTTAAAGATATAAAGTAAACACTTTCAAATGTTTTACTCAATATTTTGATATTTTTTGCGTGTTTTCATGGATGTTTTTATTTTCTTTTGCCAGAAAAGATGCTTGTAAAATCCTTATTTTATAAACAAAGTAATTTCTTTTCTAATTTTTACCAGACTATATACCCTGTCATTTTCTAATATTGGGGAGGGTGATATAAAAAATGTGAGTAGGAGGGGTGAATAAAAATATTTTGTATTGATAATTGAATTTCTTTAATAAATTTGAGAAAAATACCATTTTGTATTGCTTTTTTATGTTGACAAGTACATTTTGTTTCACTTATTTTGCTTATCCAAATTAAATTCATTTTTTCCCCTTGTACTTGCATCTTCAATTTTAAACACATAAAATATTTTGCACATGGCATAACAAGATTTCCATAAATAAACATGTAATTTCTACACTGAAAAATCAATGGGAAATCAATGGATATTTAGTAAACCTAGTTTAGACTGTCACAACATGGCATACTCAATAAGTAAGGATCAAACATGCTATGTATTAGTTATGATTTGCTTGACTAACTCCATCACCATTACTTCATGCAAGAAACAATTCTATATGAAGAAAACTTGTTCTTCAGTTTCTCACTTTTTTACTCTTCTCTTTAGTTAGTGTTGACTGATTTTAATTAATTTTTTTTGTTTTTGAAATATGAGAAACAGGATCTTTATCCACAGCTCTTCACAAAGCCAGCACACTGGACTTAAAATCTGTTTTATTTCTTCATTGTTATCGCTTTTGATAGTGACCAATTTTATCCATTAACAACCACTCAGAAGTGAATATATCACAAAATGGATTTTGACGTGGTTAAAATTTATATTTACAATGAGATTTTTTTTTTTTTTTTTTTTTTTATTATAAACATGGATGAGTTCAATTCTAGATTTATGATGATAGTAGTAACATTGATAGAATGGTAGTAATAACCTTAGAGAATACTTGTTTACACCTTTGGTATCTATCTATTCAGTAATAGAAAAATATAGCATTCCATTAAATTCAATAATGACACTGACACTTTTTTAATCAAATCAAAAATAAATATGTATAGATTCTCTGGTGTGTTAGAATTATTTAGTCAATTTTATATAAATCATTTTCTTCAGTTTTCATCATGTTGAAACTATCTCTTAGAATGAACAATGATCATTTGTTTTGTGAACTTTTCAAAATTTGATCACTAAGACTTAGATTTTGCTTTTGAAGATTGGTTATTTTTCAGTCTGAAAACTTTTTTAAACTTTAAACAATGGGAAAAGTTTGCATGAATGTGCATTCCAAATTTAACAAAAATGAGATTTTTTGATTTTTTCTTTTTTTTTTCTTTCTTTAGGGTAGTTTTTATGCTTATTTTTGCTTTAATTATGTAAAAAAAAAAAAAACACTGATGGTATCTTAACTCTTGGAGTATAAAAATAAAGAAAAAAGAGAAATGTTAGGTTCTAAAATTGAATATTTTTGACAGCATACCAGGCACAATGCAGTTGTGGATTCTTTGCATCATGCCACCATCTTCAAGAAGTATGCATGCTACCACTGTCCAAGTTATTGTTCTTCCAGGTTTGTATTCAGGCTAATGATCCAGGAAATTATGTAACCTTATAAATCCTAGAATTTCCAGTTAGTCATTTAGACTCTTATCATTAATGAATGTTGCTAGTATTGTTAGAAAAAAAACAAATTAGACATGTACAGTGGAATGAGAATACTTTATACCTATAGATTAAATAGAGGGTTCAGTTCAGAATTTCCTGAATATTATCCAGATAGGCAAACACCTAAAGAAGTCTGGAAAGTGCAAGAGCAAAAATGTGATAACAAAGATGAGGAGAATAGTCCAAATGTAAATAATGTAATTATCAGTTGATAATTCCTGTCATTTAAGGGTCAGTACCTTGTTAGCTCTTCACTTCATTGATGTTCAGCTGATTAGATAAGCTGAGAGCAGGTAGTTTTGCAGAACATGTTTGGTGTTTTGTATTCTCGCACTACATAGGAATTGCTGGTCTTTAACCATCATTTGATTATTGTTTTGTTTTACAATTGAAGCTAATATTCCATTTGCCAGTCATTCTATAGTCTTGCATTGTTCAGTAAGGTTCTTTTTATCTGTTTTCATAATCCATGCCTCTACGAAACAGTGCAATGAGTCGCCCCTGAGCCCTGGAAATGTAGTGCAGGCCCCTGTGCCAGGTTCCTGGTTATCATGCGTCCCAGAAATCCAAAGGCCCACTTATGGCTTAGCAGGTGAGGCAAACCCAATCCCCCATGATATGGGCAGACTTCCTTGTGCACCATTGGTCATCCTCTCACCCAGCCCCAAGCCAAGAAACCCTCTTTTAGTCGAAAAATGGGCTAAATTTATGTCAATAACGTTTGTTCATTTACTCCTTAGCTACTGAGAGTAGAAAACGCTAAATATAAAAATACTCCGAATGCTATTCATATGTTGGTTAACACTCCCATATGCGATATACTTAACAGTATGTTTCTAACTCCAAATATATCAGGATAGTTGTTTAATTGCTAATTAACTACTGGTTTAATTCCAGGAGTAGAAAGGTTGCGAAAATCAAGGTCGTCAAATAGTTGTTTATGTTTTTGGAGCAGCCGGTGGTAGCTGTGACACTTTAAAATCAAGGTCGTCAAATAGTTGTTTATGTTTTTGGAGCAGCCGGTGGTAGCTGTGACACTTTAAATGGGTGCAGAAAAGGCAAATACAGCTGTGGAAGGAGATTTATCATTTATTCAGACTGATAAAAGAAAATAAAAAAGCTACCAAAAAATTTAACAAAATTTAGTCATAAAATTTTACTTCATTTGAAGTTTTAAATAGGTGACCAAGTCATTTTTAACATTTTAAATAATTGTATTTCAGAGTCCTTAAGGGGAATTTTGTTCACAGAATTAAGAGGTTTTATTTTATCAGAATATTTTGGTATCACTTTATGTGAACATATCCATAACCCCTGCATCATTCCTATCAGTAGGAACATGTAAATCAAAATATACAAAATTTTAACACTTGAAAGATCTTTAGAGAAAGTACAATACATTTCCTTTGTAAAAATGGTTAAAAACACACTTTAAAAATACACTTTCTTACCCCCCCCCAAAAAAAAACACTTAATTGAAAGATGAAACTAAGAAGGCTTTAGTCGGTTTAACCAGAATCATTAGGACTTGAACAATTTTGTTCTTTTTCTTGAACGCAGTTCAAATCACTTCACTGATCTCACTTTGCTTCTGCTTCTTCTTTTTCCGTCTTCGTTTGCTTCTTACTTCTATAAGAAATAGCCTAGATCATCCACTGGTGACAGACAAAATTGCTTTTCCTTTTGATCCTTATTGATGTAACCTGGTACCTTTTTGTTTTCTTTTGCCTTTTAAATTTTTACAGCATCTATATTTTTGTGCCTTCTGTACCTTCTGAAATTGTTATAACTTCTGGTCTTCAATACTTTCTAAA